TCCGTTTGGTTCCATCATTAAGGATTTTAGTTCGGAAGACCTGCCAATTTGTTTGCTTAGGAAGTATGAGAAGATATCCCTACGCTTCATTAAAGCTGAATTGGATCATCATTTTTTACACAATTGTAAAACGTTCGGCGTTTTCCCAAAATTCATATTATTTAATTATTTATATTATTTATATAGCGCCTTTTCTTTGTAGATACAAAGTGCTTCTTTTCCCAGATCATTGGGTCCACACATTTAATTGTTGCTGCTGGTATAAATCAGCGCAGGAGCAGGCAACCCCATCAGGTACCCATTTAAATTTTTCTGTTTCTGTTAGTTTGCTTTTTATGATCAAATCATTACGGTATCCTGGGAACAAACAAATCTGATCTACAGAACATTGTATGAAAATTAAAATAATTCCATTAAATAAGAACTACAAAGAACTACAAAGTTTTAAACAAAAAGGAATTAAAGCAGCAGCAAAGAAGAAAAGAGACTGAGTGGAAAACTAATTTAATTGTTTAATAAAAATAAAAATTGTGATAACAAAGAGTGGTTTCAGATTTGGAAATTTATTCAGCAAAAAATTCAAAAAGGAATATTGTCACCAACCATTTCCTTTGGGCCATGTTTCCCTCACAGCTCTCTGCATCTGTCGTTGTTTCTTCAGGGTCTCATCCAGGTTGATGGTTTCCTACAAATATTTAAAAACTCCAATGTTTAAGCTCAGTCCAAATATATGCGACATAATTTGTGAGACATACCCATATATGGGCATGATGCCATAATACACCCAAATATGGGCATATCACATTTTTCTGTTGCTCAAAATTTGACAGTGTGGACAGGCCATTATTAAAAATTAAATGAATGTAAACACAGAATAAGCACTTTATACAATCTGATATTATACAAATATTGACTGCTCATGAGGGGAATGGAGAAATCTGTTGCCACAAGGTGATGTGGAGGCCGTAGCTTACTACTATCTTCCTTCAGTAGTAGGCTACAGTCTCCATATCACCGAGGGGCTATAGATTTCACTGTTCCCTGAATCCAGAGCAGTCAATATTTGTTTTATATACATCATACATAGATTCTACAAGGCCTAAAAAAGTACTGAAACGAGTACGCACCAAGTAGGCTTAGACATACTTCCTACTGTAGGTCTAGGCAGTCAAAGGGCTAATCTGTCTTGTCGTAAAGTTCACAGTCCTTTTTATCGTCGCGCAGTGCGTGTCATAAATTACAGTGCGACATTAAATGAAAGCTGCGAGTTTTGTTGGGGTTTTCTGGTAAATGATGGCGAAAAAACGAAAATTTACAGCGGAAGAAATTCTGGGGCAATTATGGATAGCACAGAGGAGGATATGGATGGCTCTATTACCCAAATATCGATGACTTTAAGTCTGCAATTGAGTCGGATGATGAGGAAAGTTTCTGAATTGGCCTAGCTCGAGTGATAATGATAGATGAAGATGAAATGGCATGTAAGGCCTACTTCAGGTGTTGTTGTGCATAGATGAGGTAGGCCTAGGGGTGGTCAGGATAGGGGCAAACGTAGGAGGAGGAATGTAAATATTGGCAATAAAATAAAAGATGTAAGACTACAATTTATATTTGCATCATTATTTATTCATAATTTATTTGTACAATGTAACTATATTTATTATATGATTATGATTATAACCTTACACTGTTCCCACAGCTGAGCATTTATTCATGTGTATGTGTGCACTGCTGTGTGGTTATGGTGGGTGGGTTGTACCTAATGTGGCCTCAGGATTCAAAGGGTTAACACACAGCCAACCACCATTCGGGCGACACTCTAGTCAAGGGATATAATTTTTGCCCTGCAAGAGTTACCAGGTTCTACTACTTCATGAATTAAGAGACTATCGCAATAATTAAACTGTATTCTTGTATACTGGAGTCAATTTACAATGATGCAATGGATTAGAATAAAGTAGCACTTACCGACATTAGATTGCCAACATTATCCAAACGTCCCCCTGTTCTCAAGCCACCTGTTTCTCTCAGTTTCCGTTTAGCTTCCTTAGCCTGGTCATTGTACTTTTCTCTCTCATCAGCTGAAAGAGCCTAAACAAAAGGAAACTAAAGTGAATGGAATAGGACTTGAAAAATGCAACACAAATATTACAATTAACACTTTGAAGCCAGGCCACACAGAAAAAAAAAATCATTTGCTACAGCATATTTTATAGACTTGCCACAAGTCTCTAATTTATGGATTTTTCGTAGTTTTAGCGCATTTCGGAAAGCGCCACCAGCGTCAGTGTATGTTGAGAAACTTTTTTGATGAGAATTAGAGACTTGTAAAAGAGTGAGTGAAATCGATTGCAGACTGCTGGCCGTGACAAGCATGACGTAATTTTTCTACTGTAGAACAATCTGACCAGTTTCAGCCACGTCAAAACATGGTACGTCATAAAGGCTACGTCATAATTCCCGTATCTGATTGGCTGCTTCTTACGATTTCTGGTCCATAATGCTACGTCTCTTACGAAAGTTGACTCCAAGTCAACTTTCGTAAGAGACGTAACACAAGGCAACGTAAGCATGATCACTCAAGCATAAGTCACTGAATCGCGCTTTCCTGTCAAATCGTGGAAAATCGACGTATCGCATGAAAATTCACGGTTTCCTGTCCAACATTGCTTTGAGGCGATTTAACCTTACGTTACGTCGATTTCACAACGCACCAGTCGCAATCAGTTTCCTGTCAAATAGGAATTTTGTTACGATAAAACGACGTAGTCGTAAGTAAATCTGCCTTCTTACGTCGACAGGAAACCAGGCTTTACAATCACATTTTGATTTTAACATGGACTTTTGCTGCGTATGGCAACCCATACTTATCTACTGTTGCATGGCATAACATTTTGTAAACTTGCTTTCAATATCTTTTGCTCATGACTCTCAAATCATTCCTCAACCAGATTTCCTCAACTACAAGATGACAACAATGTGTCTGCTTTCCCCCTTCCCCTCCTCACAAGTGGCAAGAGACACAACAACAATGACCCAGTCTCGAAAGACGACGTCAGGCATTTTGTGATCGTGACGTAATTGTCGTTTTCCGTAAGCAAACGGAAGTAGATAGAGATACACAGACTGCCCGTATATATGGGCCATGACTTTTTCCATGGCGTTATTTAGGCCTAGGCCTCGGCAAACAAAACACACTTTATTTGACTAATTTCCTGGATGCTAATACATCGCAGTCGAATTGGTTCGGCGGCTGAAACGCATGGCATTCTGCCAAGGGCCTAGCCTGCTGACGCACCTGTCTAGGCCTAGCTAGAGCTTCCAAGTTCTAAACTAAAGCGCGGGATTGCATAATATGGCTTGATATGTGCTGTGTTTACCTTCCAGAGCGGGTGAGCTATTTGAACAAGTTCTTCCATCTTTTTATTGTTGTGTCCTTGACGCTGAAGTTCTGGCTTCTTGTCCTGAATGAACATAGACAATCCAGTAATTTGCTTTTTCTTTTTAGCAGGCATTTCGTTTGGCTTCCTATCTCAAACTTTCAGCAGATTAACGTCTTTACCCTTTCTAGCCTTCGGCGTTCCACTTCAACTAAGGCTCTTGAGAGTGTGTGTGGCGTTGGTGGTGCTGTTCAGACATAGAATCGTCAATATTCTTCAGGGTAGGATTATCCTCTTTTATATTTTTGTTTCTAATCATCAATAAACAATAATCATCAATAATAATAATAATAATAGGCCTAATAATCGTCAATAGACCTATTATAATAATATCAAGAATTCTAATTATATTGTCCATCAATATATTATTAGCATAAATTATGAGGTTTTCTTTTATGTGGATTTTCAGTTACTGTAAAATTTATCCTTCCGATGAGTGTATCCATCCATCCATATAGATAGCTACACATCAGATGTATTCTGTTAAATGAGTTATTTTAACCCTAATATATAAATTAATTAAATGCTTCCACGGCGATGAAGGTTTAACCAGGGAAAATGATTATTACACAAAAACTAGCTGAATCTGGAAAGGGTCTATGGAAGCTTGGGTGCGAATCAATTAGGGTTGCGTGTAGGAGTGCTGGTGGGCGGACCCAGAATTTTTCAAATGGGGCACAACATATTCAGAATAGATTAGTGAGTAGCGCAGATTAATATTGGAATTTTAAAATTTAGCGGCAAAACGGGAGAGAGGTTGTAGCGCATGTTTCCCCAGTTTCACCCAACTGGATCTGCCCCGGTGGCTCTCTTGATAGCTGGGAGGGAGGCCCGTAGCCAGGTTCTT